GGCCGTCGTGAATGCGGTTTAGTCTGCATCACGTAGTGGTCCACCGGACATGAACGTATAAAATATTCAGGTTTGGTGAGACTCAGATTGTCACCACCGCCTATGGACATGCGAGCAGCGTGCTACTCAAGTTACTGTACCCTGCCCTGCTGCGACCTGTCCAATGTCACAACCTCCATTAGACATCATACGAGCACGTTGTTCTGCGTGTATTGTCTTCTGGACTCTGTTGTGGTCAAGGATGAGCGATGTAATGTAACCGCACAAACTAAGGTTGTTCGAATTGAGGCAAATGTTCGCATCCCAGGTATGTGTGTAGATAAAGAAGTAGAAGGCGTTGCGATCACCGGAATCATATTTTTACTTGTCTGAGGTTGGTTCGCGCATACGCGAAAATAAGCGGGCGGTACAACGGGGTGGCGCGTCATCGCAAGTGGCCGCCCATACCTACGAGACCGGTCACGAGTTTAATTTCGCAACTGTGAGGGTAATCGCGTACACCGGCAACAAAACAGGCCACAAATTGACTGAAGCCTGGGCGTCGGATGAGAAATCAGTTAATCGATTTATCGATCTGGCGCCGGCATACATCGCGCTGCGTAGGCATCTCCGGAGTGATGGCACTGTTGGTTGACCGTCCCCCCTCCCTTCCCCCTCTTCCCATAACGGTTGATTGGCCCCTGCGTCCTATAACTGTGGCTTGTCTTTTGTTTACGCCTTTTATCTCTGACGATGGATTCTAGAAAGAGCCCGAAAGCTCAGACAAGTAAAAATATGATTCCGATGATCGCAACGCCTTCTACTTCTCTAAGGTTGTTCGGTCTTATGAAAGAGATCAATCAGTTGTTTGGAACGATTTATTCGGTACACCAGATAGGTTGCCGTGGCGTCTTGCTTGTGTACGAACAATGCATCCGTATGAGAGCGTGCGAACAGCGGTGTGTTGTTTACGCGTTTGGGTCTCTGTATGTGTGGGAGTGATCGTCTGGCAGTTGGCGCCTGATTGGTTGCGCCAAGGTCACCTGGGCGCCAAATAGGCTGGCCATATGCAAGCGCGGCCGTGACTTAACTTAGTCCAAGCCTTGGGGATTGCTGTGCGTTGGAGGTGCACCTGCTGGTTAGCAAGCTTGGCGCAGCCATTGAGACGCCGGATAAAAGGGGCTACAACTCTGTGGTAGCACCGGGCTCACGTGAGAAAGGAGGGTGATAGTTGTAGTGCAAGTCCACTTTCACCAAAAATGTCCCCATGCCTGCACTCGCCATGCTTTGGTACACTCGACGGACATTGTCGCTTGCTCACGGTTTTTGAACTGTTTTGACCTAGATTACTGTAGTATGAGCTATTTGTATCCCCACTTTAAAAACCCCAAACCCTAAATTTCGCAGCTATCACGGCTTTGTTGCGTACTGCTGCCGCACCTAAAACCTCATCTTTTTTGTTGTATGTGCGTGTGTGTCTAGGACACCGAAATCAAGCTGGTCTCCTCAGACAGTCGATGTCTCAGTGCCGTCATCTACAGGCCGGGCGACCGAGCAGCCGCTCTGCTTTCTCACAACGACCCTAACGACATCCAAACGCTGCGCAATCCAGGTCTGAAGTCACCCCACCTTCTGCACCCTCTGATGACCGCAAAGCTGCGATTCCAGACCTCCATGCCCTGCTCCACCATCTGTAATCTCATCACAATGCGGTGCGAGCGAATTCGTTCGGCCAAGGTGGTCCAGCTATCTCGGTACGTTTGCCCCCCCTCCCCCCTTCTCCGTCAACCCCTGTATAACTGCCCTTATGTGTCAAAGCACATAAATGCAGTCCACTGCCTTCATT